AAGCTGAGAACCATGCTTTTTTCGCAACATGGCTTACGTGGAAGTTTGGAAGTTGGTAAAATGTTCGCCGAGAACTTCTGACTTGTGACAAGTATCCCCCATCTTCAATCGTTTGGCGCTGCTTTTATCTGTAATTTCAAAGATGTTCTGTACAGTTCCGGGCTTCATTTCAGCGCACGAGTAAGTACAGTGGAATCTCATTCATTCGAACACGCTTAATTCAATCTTCTGGTTAATGCAAACTCTTGATGAGGTCCCGTCAAAGCTATGTGTATTCCAATTTGCGAAAACACCCGGTAATTCAAACGTGCAAGCACTTGTGACGGTTAATTCGAACATACCGCGCTTCGAAAATGCTCTCAGCAACGCGCCCAATGCCGCGGCGGCACCTCCGACACCGCAACGCTGCGCGCGAAGGGAAGGAGAAAAAAAAGGCTGCGGTGAAATGTGTGCTCTCTCTCAAATGCCGATCTGCGACGCACCTGTGCCACGCTTCCCCTTTCCCGTACCTGCCACGTAACCCTTCTCCTTTCAACGACACATGTGAAGAGAGCCCAAAAGAAAAAAAAAAGCTGTCGCGGAGTGTTGCTTCTCTCAAATGCCGATCTGCTTTTCTCTGCGTGGAGACGGTCCTGCTTTCTTGTCATATGCTGGCCACGCTGCGGCTTTGGCGCATAGGGTAGGAGCGCAGATGCAGTCGTTGTTGTCATCTCTAGACAGTGTTGGCACTGGACATTGCCGCGCCCAACTTCTCTTGCCAGGAAAATGCTGAAGCCAAAGTAGACATGCTTTGCAAGCTGCGTGTGAAATTGATTGACTCGCTGCAAGGCAAACGTTTGCAGACGCGCTTCATCGATTACTTCAAAAAATGACGGATGTCCTGTGATTTGTGAAGTCTTCTGAAACGTCCCCCTAGTGTGCTAGCTCAATGCACATGCGCCACTGCATAGGGAGCCCTCTATTTACTTAGCCTTGATTAATTTGAACTTCTTTTAATTCGAACAAATTTTCGGGCCCCTTTAGGTTGCAATTATCGAGATTCGACTGTAAAACCACTGTTCAAAAATGTAAGGTGTGGCATCAGGGAGCCACAAGAACCTTGGCTGGTCACGGATCTTTGGAAATTTAAACTTAGCATAGTGTAGTGCCTGCCGACCGTTCTGCTGCGAAAATAATTTTTCTAAATGTAGTCACTTCCTTTTTATTGTCGATCTCCTCTTCATATAGCCCTCGCCAATTCTTGACGCCACTCTTGGCCGGGTGGAGCGTTAAAAGTTTGAACCTTTTTTGTTCTTTTTTTAACTGTGTATCGATACACAGCTCGAAGCAAGCAGCAGGCTCCGCTCTTCTGTTCAATCAGCTGTTGCCGCCTACTCAAGCGTGCTTCTGAAATGTCTTTCTTTCCCACACAGTAGTTCTTCATGACGCTGTTATATCGAAGAATGTGCAAAATGTGTTCTCAAGGTATACAATGAGTGATTTTAGGCACGTGCCTAGCTTCGACTACAGATCGTTTACTTCTTCAATTCCACCACTTTCTTCCTTTCGTTGTCCTCCTAAGAGCATGTGATCCAACATATATAAAGAAAAAAGCGAGCCCTGAGTTGCTCTAATTAGTTCATTTTGTTTTGGTAAACCGCATTGGCAAAAAACTTTCATAGCTGCATCCAGTAGCATGGTGGAATTGGCGAGTGGCAGATGTAGCAGATGACACCCAGGTTATATTTGGGCGTCATCGGAGACTGCGGGTGTGGGCGTTTCCTGCCGCGGCGGAAAACAAATGGTTCTGTGCGTTGCCGCAAGGATCGCTGCACGCACGTTCACCAACCTTCTTTCCTAAAGTGACATTATCGCGGCATGCGCTGGCGCCGGCTCAGAGTTTTCCTTCCTGTCTTCCTTGCTCCGTGACTTGGGGTAAAAGAAAATCAGTATGGGGGCTAAGATGGTCTGATGAATATAATTCGCTGGTCATGACATGAATGATGTCACAATGTCGTCGTAAACGCCGTCAAACCATTCTTGTCAGACATGCGGCACATACACGCAGTACGGGAAGGGTTTGATGGCATACGCGACAGGTGACTGACAGTTTTATATTCCCAGAAACGGCGAGAACAGTCATGGGTAATTCTAGCTCGTGATCTTTATGAAAAAGCTGACAATGGCAGCAGACCTGTTGAATGAAAAGAATAAATGTCAGGGTCCCAGCAGGAATGAAACCCAAGCACTCTGCATGGCAATCAAGTGTTCTACCACAAAGCCACACCAGGTATCGGAACTACTTTTCAAATAGACCCCTATGTTTGTCAAACGTGAATTGTGGTTGCAGTACTGGCTATCAAATTTTATAAACATTGCATGTGTACTCCTATGATACAGCCATCACGTCGACTTAATGTCAATTGTAGTTAGATGCCATCCACTCAAATTGATTTATGTAACAGTGTCTATGGCCAACATTCTCATGAGCACTAGGGCTTCATATCTACTTATCTCTTTTGGTGTTGCTATACCCATGTTACTGTTGGCATCGTTACACAACTGTAAGCAACTGGTTAAATAAAACATATACGTCTCTTTAAGGTATGTCTGTGCGTGCACTTCTACATATCTTTAGCTCTACTTCGTAATGTTTTGCTCAATAAAAAAATTATAACACAGCCACCTTCCATCCGCATGCTTCGCATACCATTGAATCCCAAGGTGCGTGGGATCTGCCAAATTTTCCTTTATTGTGGGTTGTAGCAGATGGCGAGGTGTATGGCATGAAATGATTTTGATTTTGTATTGTGAAATGTGAGTACTGTGGAAGCAGTTGAATAGTTCTTATACAATAAAGGGTTTTGTAAAGAACTCTTCCAAAACACTGAAAAAGTAAAAGTTGCCCTCGCGGGGGCTCTGCCTACTGAAAGCTTCTCAGCGCTTGTGGAGCACACGGATTCAAAGTAGATGCACCCACTCGTACAGCAGTGCACCAAGTGGGGGCCGCCAGAAGTCATCAGCGGCGGGGCCATCTCCTAGCCTGCACTCCGTACCGTAGCCAGTATATTTCCAGACACTTTTACACCTTGTGTAATTGTCACCTCGTTTCTGATAAATACTCATTTAGAAGTTGAACAGAACGTTGACCCGCATATAGTGATAAAAATTATGAGTGCCATATAGAGCGATGTCAAATAAATACGGTCGTAAACTTTTCTTGTGGGCTGGGTAACAACTTTGGGTGTGTCATAGCAGCTGACAACAGCGTACGGTGCCTCAGTGAATTCTGCGACTTATTTGCATTTACGAGCACCATCTTGAACAATGAGTTACTTCATCAGTACTTCATCATAGCTGTTTCTGACTGCATTGATGCGGAGATGATGGCTGTTGTTGCCAGTGCCGTGGAAGTGTACCTGTGCAGTTATGAATCTGCCAATGCCTTCGCTGCTGCCGCTAACCAACCTTTTGCCATGCTATGAAGGTTGCATTGGCATTCCACGGCGATCAAAGCTGTTGTGGCCAGAGGAGCTGGATTCGCTCATTGGAAAACCTATACTAGGAATGACTAGAATGCGGCGTGCAAGAAGGAATACGATTTTACGGACTATTTTCATGCAAAATAAAGTGCAGTAACTTACAGTCGACACCTTGTTCTTCATTATGCTGTGAGCATATCATTGTGTTAGCACTTGTAACGATTTCTCTGGCCTGAAATGTTTTAATTTAGGCCCTAAATGCGCATGTTTTGTATTTCAAATTTTTGATATCTTTCGTAATCTTCTTTCAGTTCGATATATTTGGGATCAACTGTATATATTTAATATGTGAATTCTTATCCCACATATGAAATCAGAGCCAATATTGCTGCACACTTGTACCACACTGGGGTGATAGTACACAGATCATTTTCACTTTCATTAAGGACTTATGAGTCCGTTAAACAGTAAAGTTCGTCGTTCTCATTCTCTCAGTGTCATTTTGCAGCAGGTTTAGAGCAATTACTTACAAAAATTGCTATTTGGAGCAGCACGAAGCAGTTATTTTCTTTTGAAGCAGTTTGAAGCAATTGGAGCTGTACTTCCATCACTGAAGTTTTATGTGACATTAGCATGGGGCTAGCTAGTCCACATTAATGTGCCCCAAGAATATCAAATACTGTACCAAATACAAAATTATTTCTATTCTTAAAGATATACAGTGAGAGCAATCGAGACTTGACACTAGGTGCACTGTGTAATGGCTACTTTGAGGCAAGACTTTTGATCTATATTTAAAATAGGTGTGGTGTGAATGGACACTACTGGCTGACTGAAATGTGAAAAAAATTTTCAGCGGAGCAATTGACGACAGGTGAAACGCTCTCGTGTTCCACTTCCCAGATACACTCATAGATGGTCCAACTTTACCTGAAAAATTTTTCAGGGTCATTAAGTAATAGTAAGTCACGTTGGGAGGAAGTGTAGTAGCCAATGCAAGGCCGTGCTGCGCAAATGGATCTGGAGGAGAATTCACGTGCACCGCACCCTTTCTGAAGATGGGCAAGGCTTGGTGAAGAAGAAGCAGCAGTGGTATTTGGCAGCTTTCACAGTGTGGTCTGAAGTACTTTTAAATTGTGCTATTGGATTTCATTATTTTCATGCATGAATCTTTCTGTCATTTTGCATTCATCTCAGCCTTGAGCACCTGTGCCAGAGAAGTGTAAATTTAAGGGCTCGTTGTCTTTGCTCGAGACAATATTAATGCGACGTAACAGACAATGATGCCAAGGAAAGTAGTAATAGTAATTGTTACATGAATGTGAAGAAAAAAAAAGTGGACAAAACGACAGCTTTCTCTGGCAGAGATCAAACATGCGACATGCAAACATATCAGAGGCTATACTGAGCTGACAGCCGCACTAGAAAAGCCATTCGGGAAATATTGCAGGGCTATTTTAATGTCAACATTATTACCAAGTGTACTGGCTTAAGGTACATGTGATCGCAAGTCATTGAACGTAATTTTTTATGATGCAGATTCGCCCTAATCATGTGGTGCAAGTCCTTCGTTCTCTGCCGTGGAAGGCAGTATGTGCTTCCCCATCGTCGACCAAGTTGGCTTCCTCGTCGGCTATGGTGTATTGTGGCTGGCAGCGAGAATGCTTGTTGCGCATTGGGACGATCTCTCTTAGTGCATTCCTGTTGATGGCCATCCGACTGCATATCATGGGTGCTCAGCTGCCTGTCTTCACCAAGTGAGCATTTCCTATCACATTACAGCTGTACCTTTAGTTACGTAGTTCTCAGCATCGTACCCAAGAACGCACACCATTGGCTTCGTTTTGAGCAATGTTGCTCGGCTCGTCGCAGCCTGGGCGCGAAGCATGCATGCATCAGTGTCTACTGAGCCCTTCCACATGGGTAAGCCATGGACAACTCCAGAAGAGCGTCGACAGTGGAAACGTGAGAGCTCGCATTCGCCTTCCGATGGTGTAGTTTGGGCACAAAAACAGGCCTGAAAGGCAGGATGCTCGCAGCAACTGCGTACTCATGATACGGCAGCCTTCCGAGCCACGCTGAATTGCGACAAGAATGCTAGCGCCATTGGTGAGTGGGTCCTGCAAACCATGCTGCCGAGTTGACTTGCGATGTCAAGTGCTTGCAACAACGCAATGACAAAGCACCATTGCAGGCACAATAGCGTCAACGTGACGATTGTGGAAGCGTGTTTGCCGGGGTGAACGCCGGTTTCAACGGGAGTTCCTGCATCAGCACTTTGGCTTCGAATGCGACTTCTATGACTGTCTTTACTTCTGAAACAACCGCCGTAATTAGTGCATTCTGAAAGACATTTAACCACTCATTACTCTCCTCCATGACCCTGATAATGCGAGACACAATGTGGGGCATGCGAAATAAACTCTGTGGTAAACCCAAGCCAAACGTGTGTCTAACGTCACTAAAAGCACGAACATATAACCAATAATTTTGAAAGGCTTCAGTGCAGCATCGAGTTGAACCCACTGCTAAACACCGGGACCGCACATTTCAGCTTTCTCTGGTTAATTATTTGTATGGAGTGCTTGGGCGGTGATTTTTTGCAAATGCATGCCAAAGCTGTGGTTCACCCTTAATTGATTTTTTTTTCTCCCAGCTTCAGTGGTTTTGTTGCAGAGTAGCTAAAAGTTTCGCTGCTCAGAAGGGCAGGAATATCTTTAGAATGAAGCAAATTGAAGCGAATTTTAATATTAAAGTTCGAATGTGAATAAAGTCAGATATTCTTCGAAATAGTGAACTGTTGGGCTAGTTGGTTTGACATTTGGCATAGAAGAGTTGGCTCTTCTATGCCAAACTGAATGCTTGGAGTGAAAGACTTGGAGAGGCATGGAATGAAAGGAATACTGCTTAGAAAAACGACACTCAACTTGCAACTGAGTTTATTTTGAAAAGTGTCTCACCATGAAAACATATCTGCAGGCACAGTCACACCAAATTGTCACTCAGCCAAAAAACAAATACTTGGGTAGAAAACGCGTCAGCAATGTATGATAACATCAAGGGGTACGTTTAATCAGTTTATAGGCTTAACTGCTATGAAGGAAGATTATTTCATTAAAAGTAAAATGCACCGAAGGTGCACTGATGCATGCTTCTATTATTCTGTTCTGCCTCTACTGTCCCTCTTTCTCACGCTGGCCTTTTGCTCTACTCATGATGCATGCTTCCTCTAAAAGGGCATTGCAGCCGCATGTACTGCAATGCACAGGAAGATGCACCCTATCGTTCAGAGCATTCATTATAGTTGCATAGTTGCATTCATCATAGTTGCATTCACCATAAGTCTATCATTAAAGCATCGGCCCGTTTGGCCAATGTAGGCTTACTAAAACTTAGCGGTATCTTATATATCACGTAGCATATTGGACAAAAGGCTTCTTATGCTGCTTACCACAGACATGTCTTTCGGATATTTTTTAGAACACTTTTAAATATTTTAAAGTGAAGTATACAGAAAGGTTGACCCTGGGAGGTGGGACAGGTAGGAGTAGATCATAACCTTTGGCAGCACCAGTCGGCTAGTGCGCAGGCTCGGCACTTTTAAACCACTCATGTTGGCCACGCGCACAACAGCTGCACACCACCTGGTGCTATCTTGAAATAATTGGTGTACATGGTTTTAACAGTGCATTAAAACTCACAGATTTTTTATTCACAATGATATATTTTGATAGAAAAGCATCTCGCAAACCAATTTTGCCAGTCAATGTGATATGTAGACTTGTAGTCCTCAAGTTGGTGGGAATATGAATATTGGAAGAAGTGATGATTGTATGAGATTATGCTTTGCGAAGGAAAGCAGCTGCTTTTGTGAGGGATCCTTTCATCAGTCTGTTCAATAGAAAAAAGGTGTTTATGACTACATATGGTTTTTTTTTTTTTTTTGGTGCTTCTACTTTTGAATAGGCAGTGTGACATTGAGCTGGTCCACAACCCCTAGCTTACAAATCTCTTTTTCTTTTTTTTATATCGTTTAATTTTCATATGATGAGTTTCAGCAGGTCATAAATATTGCACCAAAGATTAAGTCCAACATTCATTTTGTGCTCTCATTTTGTGCTCTCACAGACGTGCTGGTTTTTGTGAGGATAGTGTACATGCAAAATGGGGTTTGAAAGCTTATACAAGCACGCCTTTGTTACAGGTTTGACAACCCAGCAGCAGTTTCGGCCAGCCCTGTGCGCCAGCTAACATTCCACTACCTGCCGGCGGTGAATGTGTGGTTGCTTCTGTTTCCTCATGCTCTTTGCTGTGACTGGACCATGGGCAGCGTAGCCCTGGTGCGCACCTTATCCGACCCTCGTAATGCGGCCACCCTGTCACTGTACACCATGCTGGCTGTCCTGGCCTACGTAGCTCTTCTCCCCACTCGCCGCCCGAACGAGCTCGTTCATCAGAATGTCATCTTTCTGGTGGGTTGTTTTATATGAAAGACAGTCGAACGGACGGAAAAAACTTTAGTGTAAAAAAAAATAACAAAAAAAAACCTGAAAAGTTACCGGCCCGGGCTTAGGCCACCCAGACGTTTTGTGCAGTGAGGCGTAGCCTTTCCACCACTGTTCAGGCCCGCTGGATTGCCCACAGTTGGTCATGCAGATCTAAGCTAGTGAGCGCACTTATCCTAGGGCAGTGCAGGTGCGACTACATTTTTACCAAAGCTGTGCAACAAAGGTAATTTAGGTGTGAAGCAAATTCGAATAATAAAGCTTGCGTGCAATTGATCAAATGTTTTTCAAAATATCTCGAATATTTTTCAAACACTTCTATGTGAAATTACAGAAAAATGTTGCAGATGGGAACGTAAAAACTTTTCTCTTGGCTAGGTTAGTGTAACAGATGGGTGCTACAATGCCCTCTTCCCACATCGTGTTTACGAATTGTGTTTATGCACAGGATCACCACATTTACTCACCTAATGAACGCACTCACATAATAAATGCACCCCCAACTTCAGTCGTTGAAATTTAGACTTTTTTCCTAGCGTAATAACTGCATCCCCTACATTCATCCACTGCAGTCCCACTAACTAACATTTGGCGCCTCCTTACTCATTGGATCTCTTCCGTTTTTTTATTATTATGCCGACCCACTTCGGCTCGCTTCCTCCCCCTTCGCCCATTGCCGTGTGCTGTATTGTTTTACTTCCTATCTCTGCACAGCACGTCTGCCGTCTTTTTTATATGTGCGCCACAGCCAGGGTCACGAACAGTGCGAGTGTAGAGACATCGCAGCTTATAAGCACACAGCAAGCGAAGGTTACGAAACTGCCCGTGCGAATCGACGGTCGCTTCCTGCAAATACGAAACTTTATGGCCCAACGACATGCACGCAATTTTCGAGCAACGACAACAGGATTTGCTGTCGTGAAGAGTTAGTCGCTATGGCGTCGCTGGTTTCTAATAAATGGAAAAAATCGTTTGTCACCCAGAAGAGATCGTGACAATTTCCACATCGCTTGTCTGTGCATACAGGAACTTCTCATGTGGAAGTGAGGCAGCGGCCATATTTTGTCAATATTCTTGCTATCGACGGTTTGTTTTGATGCTTCGGGTGTAGCTTGCTGCAATGTTGGTTACTCACCTCAATGTCAACGGCGGTGGCGCGGTCATCGTGCGAGGTCGCCGCGAAGTTGGCAAAGTGCGTCGTAGCGTCATAGTGCATGCTTCTGGGTGCCCCTCCAGATTACAGCAGATACCACTGCTACGGTAAACTATTGCGAAAAAAGATGGCCACAAAACGCATTTATCGGGTGTGCGGGCAGCGCGGGGGATAGCTTGCAGAAAATAGCGCCATCAATCACCGAAGTTAAGTAAAGTGCAACAAAAAATTGTCTCCAAACAGTGTACTTGTATGTAAACTGCAAAACACTAAGCGACCCAACTTTTTTTTTTGCATTATTACATTTTCTGCCCATACCGAAAAAGTTTTTATAAAATTTGCCTCACATAATAAACGCACCCCAACTTTTCTGCGATTTTTCAAGAAAAAAAGTGCGTTTGTTACGCGAGTAGATATGGTAGAATTGATATAACCAAAAAAGTGTCAGCACTATACACATCCTCTTCTATTTTTTATTCTAGAGCCATAATTCTTCAATATTTTAGTGGTCTTGAAGCTTTGGCAAAAGTTTGATATAGGAATGCATGGGGATCGAAGTGGCGCCAGCGTTAAAATTGTAAAGCTAGGCTGGAATTGAAAAACGTGATAAATGTACCCGTGAAGGTTGATTACCTCTTCAGACTGATGTCACCATCAAGTAAACACGGGAAAGCTCTAATACATTCGAATTTAGCTTTAAAATGAGCATTTCTGTTAGCTAGGTTGGTGCTGGAAATTCAATGGCAAGAATATCGTGCTGCTTTTGCTGTGTAATATGCTGCCACTATTAAAGCATGCTTCTTTTTCTTGGTACACCTAGTGCAAATTTCTAAACGATTGAGAGTCCTTCAAGGATTTTGGCGGATCTTAACTTATCGCAGACTTCATATTGAATCTTTCAGAATATTTGCAATGTTCATAGGCTGTCGCACCGCCAAGCAGGATTCGGGGCCATCTTCTCGAGGATGGTCAGTAGGCAGACGCTTCTTTGTTGGTCTTTGAGTGTATTGTTTTCGCAAAATACTTGATGCGATAATGGCACCAATTGCTACTGGTATTTGAGCAAGAGAAGAAGCATTGCTTTCTTATTGAATTTTTCGGAACTATCCTGAAGGACATGTGGTTTCAATGTGAACGTACTCCAGAAATTCTACCCTTATTTACGTGTGATGTTGTGTTTACAAGGCGAGCATTGTAGTAATGAATGGGTGTTGCTGTGTGCAGAGTCTGTCCCTGCTGGTGTTTCCATTTCTGCCAGCTTCCAACCTATTCTTCCCGGTGGGTTTTGTGATAGCAGAACGTGTCTTATACATGCCTAGCATGGGATTCTGCCTCCTCGTGGCACATGGCTGGCACCTCATGCTCCAGAACTATGCCGGCAGGTGAGCGAATTTCAAGTATCTACGACTAGTATTAAAGGTGAGCTGCGATCGACTTTTACTCTTGCCCAATTTAATAGTATTATAGTCGACGTCCAATTTCCCAGACCCTTGAGGAGTCGCCAAAATGTCTGAAAAATCAGGCAGTCTGGAAAAATGAATGCACGTGAAAACGCACTTTTTTTTACAGAAGTTTCTAGGTGATGGAGAGAATCGCAGGAGCAGTAGAAGAGATTTGTTGCAAGCCAGCGAATGGATCGTTTCAGTGGCTCTGAAAAATTCCATTCGTAAAAAAAATTAACGAAAATAGAAGGAAAAAAAATTATGGACCATCTCCCCGAAGGGAAAAGTGATGGGATGCGAAGCAGTGGTGCACACGCTGCTTACCTGGTTGTAACTGGCGTCGACGTGGGTGCCAGAAAAATGGTTTGAAGCGAAACTCGATGTAGCCTTCACTCGAGTAAACAATTCTTTGAAACGCAAAGACGCGGGAGACGGGTTGGATTTCGTGTAAGTTTCATGGCAGATAAACGAGCCAAAAGAGTGTTTCCACTCAACGTGCGGTCAAGTGTTGTGGGCGGTGCAGAGGGTAAAGCGAATGAGAAGTGTGTTGCCAGCGGGCGGAGGAGTGGCACCACCTAGGAGCCGGCAGCCGCTGGGGGTGAGGGAGAGAGTGATGTCAACGCACAGCATCTACTTGACCTACTTGGCATTATTTCTACAACTGTAGCAGGGGGAACGCGTGCAGCCTGTTGTCATGAAGACACTGATGGACAGCGTTACACAGGCTAGTCAAAGAGCTGCTTCGCATCTGAAAATCTGACTTAGCCGGCGCTACCTCGTTGGTCAAAACTTTGGCCCACAAAAGTTGCTTATTATTTTTGCACAGCATTCCTCTTGCCTGCGATGATGTCTGCCTCAATTACAGTTCAGAAAATCATATGGCGAAGGCTATAAGCACTTCAAATTTTGGACTTTTTGATTCATTGACTCTATTGAGAACTTGACTGTGCCTCGGATGAGTCAGAGGAAATCAGGCGTGTCTAATTTTGGGCAGCCGAGAAATCGAACGTGGACTCTAAGAGAATCTCAACATTCGTAATTGCGTAGTTTTCTAAAGTAAACGGCATGCTTATTCGCGGCTTGTAACTGACTGCTATCACACTCATCAACCACTGTTTGCAGCAAGTGTTGCCTGTACAATTTCGTTCTGCAGATAAAAAAAGTTTTTCTAACATCTTTGTCACAAGGTCGTGACCTTAACAAAGAGAGCAGAGTGGGAGTCAAGGTGAAACGGCTGATTTGGCTTACAGTCAGGTTACAGTCAGATTACAGCGATAGACAAAGGCACTGATAGTGGCGAACTCAGCATCAGCCATCGATGAACTGACAAGTGGTGATGCACGTCCGCATTTATATACATGCCATCGAATGTTCCAGTGTTATAGCTAGCGGTCATCAATGTTCCATAAAAATCGCTAATGTTTAGGATGTGCGCATAATCACATCGGAACGTTCTGTGGTTATCTTCGTGATTCTTAATTCATCGGTGCAGTGCTCAAGGCAGCACTCACATGTTTGATGGTGGAGATAACAATACTTGACAAAAGAGTGTGACTTTGCCCCTTTGTAAAAAGGCATCGTCTTGATGCTTTGACAAATGATGAAAGTACAATAATAAAGAAAACCTAAATCCTTTGGTTTGTTGATGTTAGGCTTGTGCGTATATTCAAATGCTTTGAATATTCGAGAAATTAGTAGAGTATTTGAATTTGCTTCAATGTTAATCTATATTTTTGGAAATCTCCACGTATTTGCAATAGACAAATAGTGTATATTATATTGTAAGATATATAGTGCAACTTTGACTCTCGTAAACACTCTCGCATACACTCACACATGCACCCAAGTAACACACAGGACACTCAACGCCAAGGCACTGAGTGTCTTCTGTGTTACTCAGGTGAATGTGTGAGTGTATGGGAGAGTCAAGGTTGCACCAAATATCTTGCAACATGACGAATAACCAACTAACCCTACAACAAGTTTTATTGAGGTTTATATTACACTGCATATAACCTTTTGTAGAAGGGGTTTCAGTGCAGTGTACAAATGCTAAACCGTGAAAGCACCTTATCCATGGGGAAATCTGCATTGCCACAAAGCCCCATTTCTAAGTTAAAGGGGCCCTGCAACAGTTTTTTAGCCTCATTAGCAAATGCAACATATCTGTTGGCGAGGCTATCAAGAACATGCGAGCCAATTATTATAGCACACCACCCTGCCTGCAACGCACAATAAATTTTCAAAGTCAGCTAAAATTTTCTTCCGAGAAATGATGTTACAAGCCTAAAAATTGCTCGTCACAGCCATTTTATCTGCCATTAGCTGATTTGAGCATGGCGTGCGCGGTCGTTGATGGGGCCTCCGTGGGCGGCCGTGAATTATAGACGCGTGCGTGCGCGATTGCGCTAAAAAGCCACTTATTCGAAGAAAAAAAAGAGCAAAAAGTTCTTAAAGTCACATATGCACCACATATGCACAGAGGCCTTATTTCAGTTCTAAAAAAATATTGTGCAGGTTAGTTAGGTCAATATATATATATTTATATATAAGGGAAGGAAGTGTATACCTAAGGGCTCGTGTTTCCGTGTTTTGACAAAATATTAATGAGATCTAACAGACAATAATGTCAAGGAATGTATAGGGGAAGTTATTAGAAGAAATGGAATGTAAATAAGAAGAAAGAAAAGTGGGTGAAAAAATAACCGATCATTCCTGCTCACGGCTGGTTATTTTTTCACCCACTTTTCTTTCTTCTTATTTACATTCCATTTGTTCTAATAACTTCACCTATACATTCCTTGGCATTATTGTCTGTTAGATACACAGTCGAGCCCGCATATAACAGCCCTACTTAAAACGAACTATCGCGTAAAACGAACAATATCCGCGTGACCGTCAAAATATACATTGGTTCAATGGCACAAATTCGCACTTACAACGAACGTCTCTGAACGCTGCTGATCGGTTACAGCGAACGGAGTCAGCGGTCTGCCGACTTCTTCAGAAACCGATTTCGACCACCGATCAGGCATCGGCGAGGTGCCCATACATTCTTATTGTTAAACGCCAACTCTGCCTCCGCACCCCTCTAGTTGCCGCTCTTCCAGACCGCTTTTTGTTACGCACCCCTCCATCCTTTGTCCCCCCCCCCCCCCCCCCGCTACCTTGAGTACTACCCCGCATCGCCAGACGAGGCCCTTGTTTTCACACTGCCACCGATCTTTCGAAGACCGGTCAGCCATCAACCCTGTTTTTGACCGCTGGTACTGTCGGCGTCGCCGGCCTAGAGTGACCAGACCATTTGCCAACATCGTCGGCCACCGACTGTATCCGATAGTCTTCGTCAAGTGCAAGTGTGTACGCTACCCCACCGACTCTGATAATTTGCAATTAGTTTCGTGTTTAGGACTTGTTTTCACTCACTTCGCACTCGGCTCAGCATGCGTTCCGCGCGCATGCGGAAGCGCGAAAACGACTGTTAACTTGTGCCGAGCGAATCGCGAAATATCGAAGTTCGTGAGGCCACTGTTACGACCGGCCCTAGAGAACCAAGCAAGAGGAGTTGCGGGGAGAACCGGTTCTTGACCGACTGTGTCGTCGACCCCCACCTCCCCATTCAGGCTCCCCCCTCTCGCCGGGAGAATTCCGGAATCTGCTGTGCGTTCGTGACCATGTTTGGGCATTTTTCAGGGCGCCAGGACCATATATGGACATCGTATTAGGTTGTGCCACTCCATGTGTTGTGAGAGGTGTTTCCCCCTCCCTCGTGGCCGAGGTGTCGGGGCCACCGTATTGGCTGACGATGCGGACAGTGCGCCCAGTGTCGGCAACGCGGCGCTATAAAATGCCGAAGACGTTTTGTATCTCTCTTCTCTTCTCTCTTTGGATCAGTTGATCACTTCTCCACATGTAAATAAATCTCTGTTGTTCGTTCGGGCGCTTCTTCTCGCTGAATTGTTGGACGATGGATCCTGCGACGGGGCCAGCTATCGAAAACGAGACCGGCAGGACCCGGAGTCCCAACACCACGCAAACCCGTCGGCGCAACGAAAACGATTTTTTGACAACGACCGCCGATTCTTCGAACACCGCCGCGCGCACCGTTTAAGGCGGCCATGCACTCTTTTCAAGGTTTTCTACGTGCGAGTTTTGCAGACCTTTCAAGCAAGCTACTCAACCTGCCTCTTTCCCGTGTGTTTTGGTTTTCAAGGTCGCCCTCCCGCCGCATCCTCCCCTCTCTTTATCGCAACTCCTTGCCCTTCTCTCGGAGGTCTGCTCCCTCTCTTGTTCACAACCCCTTCGCCTGCCTCAGCTGCTCCGCGACGCCCGCCACGCTGGCTCGAATTAGTTTCGTTTTCTGACTGGAAACGGGCCTAGAGCTGTTCCACGCGCTTTAGCATGTGTGTCGTGTGTGCGCGTCTTGGTCGCTTTTGGTGTGCATGTGTGGTCATGATGGCCGACAGGAGGACTAGCAGGCTTTTTCGTGCCACTCAACAAAACGTCAAAACTGTGACCCGCTTGGCTTGAGCGTAATGGGCGCGTTAGGTGCCACGTTGCGGAGCGCTTGCTTATAGCTCTTGACCACCTGGCAGCCAAATTGCCGCTTCAAGCGTCCTGGTATTCACCTTTAGAGTTGGTGAATATTGAGTGGGCGGTGGTGACAACAACATGCGCGCGAAAATGTTTTCGCAAGGCCGACTTCGTCTACGTCGGGCCTGATGCCGAGCGTGAAGCTTCCGAACTGCGGCGGCGATTTGTGGCAGCGCGTCATCGACTCCGACCTGGTAGAGCGGGTGGGACATCTGTTGCGATGGTTTAATTACGGCCGATGGTGGTGTCGACACTGCGGAACCGTGCACGGATTTGGGCATTGTGAATGAAGTACGTGGCGAGAGCGGTTTGAAGAAATCAGATTGCGAGAACGACGAAACTTTGGA